ACTTGGAAGAAATTGGTTTTGCAATACACATGATGTGAGACAATCAATAGTGCTTTAGTCTGACAAGCACTGTCAATACCCATTGTCACAGTTCAGAAAGTCATTAATTGGTAGTTCTTCAAAAAATGATGTTTTCAACATGTTTGAAGTCTTCAGATATAGTGTACCTGGCAGGAAGCAATCATAGGTAAACCATTTGAATTATGTATAAATGTTTTGTAAATAAAAGTGAAATAAAAGTCATTGGAAGAAATATGAGATCGTGTTACATGGAGTTACGAAATCTTGCCAATAAAATATGGAGCTGTTTCGAACATATGAAAATATTTTGTTTTCTGAATCATTCAGGTTCTGTGCAGAACATCACAACCAGGAAAAAGAGTCTTCTAGAGATATATTGTCTGCATACTTGACTAAATTCACCAAAAGGCATCTCTTAAAACTTTTGATCTTTGCCCTGAAAAGATTAGGTTAGGGTGTTGTCTGGTTCTTCTGGTTGTGGCCAGGGCAAAACTATAAAGAAAGGCTTTTGTAACTTCACCTTGTAAATATGCTAGCTACTGCTTAATCCTGCTTAAATTTTGTTTATTCTCATTGCATTGTATATACAATTTAGTGCACTAAACTGCAGCAAGTAATTCTTCATTTGTACATCTTTTACAACCTTTCATTGACTCTGATGGTATTATTTCTGCAGAACTGTGTGTTTTGGAGGTAATGCATAATTCTTTCTTTCCACCTGTCTTCTTGTGTAAAAACTTGTACAGACTCTATTTTGTCATTTTACATGATACTCTTGTATTAATATGTTATTAGGAATATTAGGGTTAGAGTTGCACCACTGACTAAGTATTGAAAGAATTAATAAGGGTCCAAAAAAAAGGTCAGTTTTCCTTACTTCGTGTTTCTTTCTTTTTTTTCCCCCCCACAAAGAATTTAGCTTATAATTGTCCTTCCTAATTCAGCTGATGCTGTTACAGTGCTATCCAACATGAAGGGACAAAGATGTGTTTATACTTTCTATTGCACCTCCCTAATGTGATAAACTGTTGTGATTTCATATGTCTTAATTCTAGAGTAAATTATCTAAGGAAAAGATCTTGTCTTTTTTTTCATTTGTCCCTTCATACCTCTCCCACCTGTGGGAAAAATAGATATATCATAAAGTGACCAAAGTCACTATAAATGCTGTTCTGGATATCAGGGTCCAACTTTGTTTCCAGCTAAACATGGAAGTCAACCAGCATTCAGGTTACATTATTGGTATTGGATTGACATGTCCTTGCAACCACTTGCACTTGCAGAAGAAATTTAGCATAATATTGTACTCTGTTGGGTTCTCTATACATGTGCTATAAAAAACCCTGGCCTCAGCCAGAGCAAACGTGTTTCCTTTTTCTGTCTCAGAAGCAATATAAGAAGTACTTAAATGAAGTCTGCACAAAGGAAGGGGAATTATCTTTCTTGTCTATGTTGATTTTGAAGCATTAATGTGAATATGTCAATGTGTGTAGCTTTAGAAATCAAGTGTATGGGGTTATTTAGTACAAGGGATCAAATGGCACACCTATCCAGTGTATACCAGAGAACATACAGCAGAAAAAAACAGTAGATTTTATTTCCTATTATTTTATACTTAGGTCCTTAAATAGCCTATATAGCATCTGTATGGAACTGCTTTCCACTTTTTTATGTTGCTTAACTTTTGCCAGCAGTCTTTCATGGATGATTCTTATGGCTGAAGTGAGAACCTGAAATTTAAAAGGGAACGTACTACAAAAATATAAATTATTGGGTTTGAGTTTTATAACTGCTTTTTAATTATTATTTGGAAGTAACATTTGGTCCCCTTTGGATTTCCAACTATAATAGCAAAATCATTTTAATGTGGGGTTATCGCGAGAAGAATGGTTTGGCAAGAGAAGGAATATTTTTAAATGAGATCCCAACAAGAATATTTCTGGCGAAGCTTGGTTTTGGAACATGCTAATATAAACCCTTGAATTTCTGGGAGGCTTGGAGTTTCCCTCTGGTGACTCACACGTGCTTAATAGAATAAAATAAGAAATTCATTGAAATTAATTTTGCTGCTGTTTTTAAATGTGTTATACAACTCAACATGGAGCACACAGAAGTATCCATAACAATAATTATTCCTACCTCTAGATGTAGTTTCAACACCATAAAACCTGTTTGAGGTATAAAACTTCCAGCTGGGTTAATACATCATTCTAAACAGAGGGATCTTACCATTCACTCTATGACCACATTCACTTCAGTTAGAATATCTTCACAAATCTGGTGTATAATCAGAGCTAAGCATGTAATTCAAGTGGGCAAAAATGCTTCAGAATCCTGCAGAATGGGAAATGTGGCAGGCACATGAAGTGGCTTAAAAGATATTTTCACTCCTGCCCTCTACTCTACTCTTGTGAGACCTCACTTGGAGTATTGTGTACAGTTCTGGTGTCCTCAACATAAAAAGGACATGGAACTGTTGAAACAAGTCCAGAGGAGGGCCACGAGGATGATCAGGGGACTGGAGCACCTCCCATATGAAGATAGGCTGAGAAAGTTGGGACTGTTCAACCTGGAGAAAAGAAGGCTGCGTGGAGACCTCATAGCAGCCTTCTAGTACCTGAAGGGGGCCTATAGCGATGCTGGGGAGGGACTCTTCACTAGGGACTGTAGTGGTAGGACAAGGGGTAATAGGTTCAGACTTAAACAGGGGAAGTTTAGATTGCATATAAGAATTCTTTACTGTTAGAGTGGTGAGGCACTGGGATGGGTTGTCCAGTGAGGCTCTGAATGCTCCATCCCTGCCAGTGCTCAAGGCCAAATTTGACAGAGCATTGGGTGACATGGTTTAGTGTGAGGTGTCCCTGCCCATGACAGGGGTGTTGGAACTAGACGATCTTAAGGTCCCTTCCAACACTAATTATTCTATGATTTGCACTGAGGTAGCTTCACTCTAAGTTGAGAAAAAGCAAACCCAAATATGAATCACTATGGACAGAATGACCATAAGCAACAAGTGAGTCCCCAAACTAAACACAATTCACTGTTTCCAAATACCATTAAGATGCAGAATTAGAAACATCCATTTGTTGTTCTTTTTATAGCACATCCAAGTGAACTTGGAATTTCAGCCTGTCCCTGCCAAGGACTGCTCAATTTCAAACAAAAAGTCCTCCACTATAACGTTAAAAAAGCACCATCAATTAAATGCTAATCTTTATATTATGATACATCACTCCAAGAATGCTACCATTAAAAAATGTGAATTCTATTTTTTATAAGTGGTGGATTATTGTACCAAGCTATGTATTTTCCAATAAAGTGTCATTTTATTTGTCCTGTGTGATTACTAGTTTGTGGAAGTATGTGTGGGGTCATTTTAGTGCTGTGGGAAAATGAAGCACTCTTCTGTTAAAATCAGTAGTGAAATCAGAAGCAAACTATGCTCTGATCATCGTAGGCATGTGTTTAAATATTGTTTTCCTTAATTGGCTATGTTCTATTTACTTAAAATGAACAATTTGGCAAGTTTTTCTCCCTTGACAACAGCAAAACGTAAACTATTTTATAAGTTTGGCTGTTAAAATCAGATTTGTAATGTAAATCACAATATTCCAGGGTTGTTACTGTTGTTTAACCAGTTATTTTAGCTTGCCATTGTTTTATAATTGTGCACCTTTAAACATTCTGATTCTGTTTATAACTTCTTGCTATGAAATGACCCAATAATATTGATCATATTTTTATTTTTGCCTTCTCTCTACGCTTGGATCCTCTATATGAGGATCACTGCATTATAGGCGAGATTCAGTCTGGATATGGAGATTAGGAAACATCTCTCTAACTGCAGCTAAATTATCCATGGTACTATTTAGAAATTCTGTTGAAGAGACAATTAACCAACTGACTCCTGCAAGTTCAACTTGTGGACAATGCTGTGTTTTGGTGGATTGATTGATTGGTTTATTGATTTTCAAGAAAAGATGGAAAGCTGTTATTTTCCACAGAAAGCAGAAGCCTCTCTGTCAGCTGGAGTCCCTTGCCAGGGAAGGCAGGACAGCTCTGGTTCCCTATTTGCCTACTCAGCATTTGAGGGAATGGGCAAGTGTGAGAGCTCAAGGGCACACAGGATAAGGGTTATTCGAGGGTGGTGAGGCTCAAGTGAATTGTTATCAAACTTTAAAAATCTGATTGTCCAAGGAAATCTTTGAAAAGGGTCTTCCCATGGCATTGCTGCTGCTTCTGGAGCATGTTGATTTCTCTTTCACACTAATACTGCCTATTTTAGTAGCTATGACAGTGCCCTGCATGCACCTCAGCAGAGAAAAAGTTAAATTTATACCTTTGAAACTTTCTCCAGGGGATTTTGCGCAGCTGGGTTCTATGTATTTTTGACACACAGCAGGAATAAATTGAGGTCGAAATGTTTCTCAGTTTCATAAATGCCTAAATATTTAAAATATAATCTTTAAGACGGGAATACTTTTTTCCCTATAAATTAATGCATCTAGCATACATTTCATGGCACATAGCCATATTTTCTATAGCTGCATTAAATATATATATATGTAATGCTTAATCCATCTTGGCAAGAGAATTCAGTCTTCCACTAGTGGTGAACCATCCACCCTTTTTCATAACAAGTAGTATATACCTAATAGGGCATAGCACACTGAGTCCAGAGTTTTAGTTGAAAAATTATCCATGTGGAATTTGTGGGATTAGTGATCATTTAAGGAGTAAACTGGTCGCCATCCAAATACTTATGGGCAACAAATAATATAACTCTGTGACTAACCAGCAGAATGAAGTCATCATGTTTATTCACAAAAGTATTAATCAGATGTTTTCTACTATCCAAACATCTACATTGCTGCCCTACTTCATGACTTTACTAGGGTGGCTATGGTCACTACTTTTTAAGGATATTTGAGCAAACTGCTATTAGTTTTAAAATACAATTTCACTGAATCTGTTTCTTTTTGATTCCTTTAGTTTTCAGACTGAACTACAGTGCCTCTGACACAAATGACAGAAACCGAGTTAAAAGCAGATTAAAGAAGTTCATCTCCCGAAGGCCCTCCTTGAAAACATTGCAAGAAAAGGGACTTATTAAAGGTGTGTTGGTTTTATGTACCTTTTCATAGTAAAAAGAAAAGATCACAAATTAATTTTTCATTCTCTGTTAAATACGCAGGTGCATTGGACGAATGTTTCTTAGATATGGTTTTGTTAGTGTATCTCATGCAGCTTGCACTACTGAATTGTAAATTAGTGTATGTTTACATCTGTCTTTGTGCTATCAGACCACTGCTTCGATTTTTCTGTTTTGGTGTGCAGCATGGTAGAAGCCCCTCCATTTAACACATGCACTCATCATGCACATGGCAAATCAACATTTGGCACAACTTAATTTCTTGAGAAAAGAATGTTGATATAGTTTTATATTTTAGAATCTGAAATAGGAACTTCAGATGCTGTGCTGACTGATTTGTTTTCTAAGGTAGACTGAAATACTTTCTGCTGTCTTCTCTCATTATTTTTCTACTCTCCTACAAAATACATTTTGATCAATTTAAAATACGTGCCAGTGAATAATAAATGCCCTGAATCTGTTATTCTTTTCCTACTACAATTTCTTGCTAAGTCAGTCAGCCATCAATTTCACACACTCTTAAATAATTGCTTCTTTGATGAAACTTGTTTGTTAGTTTATCCAAGGAGTGTTTTGCTAAGAAGCTGGTAGTTAACTTGAAGGCAGTAGCATTCTGACCACTAATAATAAAGCAAAGCCATGTTTTCAAACACTGTCCAGAATAATGCCTTAAAAATTTATGCACTCCCAAATTATTATGTGTGAAACCCACAACTGCACATGCAAATTGACTAGAAAGAAACATTTTGCCAGCAGCCCCTGTCAGGCTCTGGAGTGTGAGTTTTCCAGTGGTGTCTCAAAAATGGCAAGGAGTGTTGATGGTGTATATTAAACTTGTCTGTGCTGAGCCAAGAGATTGACCCCAGCCAGCAAAAGCTAAAGCATTCACAAGAGTTAAACACCAGCTGGGCCCATGTCTGAAGAGAAGGAGAAGATTTAAAAATTAGGTTCTTATGTTTTAGATATATGCAGAAATGTTCAGTGCAATGGTACTTACTGTAAGTGCATCTTCATTATATTAAATCATTTTGTGCCTTGACTATGGGCTTCTGCTTCTAACCGCCACAGAAACTTTAAAAAAAAAGAAAGTTATTTATACATAAATAATGTGTGTGAGGTGTGCACACTCACAGAACAAGCTTTCAGGATCTGTTTTTACACATTCATAGTATCTGATTTCAACAGGTTTGAGGGCTTTGCCTCTTTGAAGTACTCTCTGGGTTGAGGGTAGGATTTGAATGCATCATGTTAGTTTGTTTCAGTTATTACAGTAATAGAAGAGTAATTTATAGTCTTTTAATTTCTGGATTTAAGGGCTGTATTTTTAGTTTAACAAAGTGTGGCTGATGAATCTCCTGCAGTGCTACATAGGGATCAGATGTGATCCCTTTTAACAAACACATATTAATTACCATAACTCAATTCCAGCCTCTAATATATCTGTCTAGGAAAGACACATGAATTTGGTTTTGTCTACAGTTGCATTAAGCTCTTGATTAATAAACATAACTTGGTTCTACCTGGGATACTCTTCCACAGATAACGAAGGTATATGATTTGTGACACAGTAATTCAGAATCAGTACCTGGCACAGTTTTATTATCAAACTAATGTTACCATGCAGAAGACATGTTAGTTATCTACCATGAAGTTTCATTAGGTTTAGGTTCTGGCCATGCAAATGAGGAAGGATTCCTTAGCAAGGTTCAATTCCAACCTCCAGTAAGTCTATGTGATAAGTTTCCTTCATTGTCTTCACCAGAGTTTGTCCCTTAATCTGTTAAAATGTTATGAAAATGCAGTTACTGTACTTATCCAGAGACCACTTTTAAATGTTAATTTTTAGGCTCCCATTAGAATATTTTTAAATCACAAAATGCAGCCATCCACCTTAAAGATGAAAAGCTTGCCAAATTCCGTATTATAAGATGAATCTATTTATTTTTTTTTTCCTAAAGATGATGTAAATAGTTGCAGAAACCTCCTGAAACTATTTATTTGCTCCTTCCTTAAGGGAAAAAATGTTAACCATTTTTACAAGAAAAAATTCCTCCAGCTCTGAGAACATGCATCCTAACTTTATTCCCATAAGGAAATACTTCTGTCAGAATTGTAAATCCCTTAAAATATGGGCTTGTAATAAAAGTGCGTCTAAAGCCTTGCAGGGCATCTTCATACCAAATTTTTTGACAAAGAGCTGTTCTGTGTGCCAGTGAAGAATTGATATAAATATCGGTGAAGTGTGAGGTGTTAATTACTCCAATGCAGTGGCACTGTAGGTGCTGTAGAAACCTTCACTTTTCATTAAGTGCTATTCATATTTGCCAGGGGCACTATAAAGCTCGCAAATCTATATTGATTTTTTTGCATTGCATGTCACATTGGAATCAAAACTCCAATAAGTTTAACACATAAACTATAGTCATGGGTAAATACATTTTAAGGTGGGAAGTTCACTTAAGCAGTTCTGTGCTCTGTTAGTCACTGATGTGTACACACTTGGCCAGAAGACTCAACACATTTCTCCCCATTAACCAAATTTGGGAATACAGGCTTCAAAATTAAATAGCAGTTTGATCTCCTGGGGTACTTTGTTCTGCCAACACTGTTATCATAAAATCTAGAAATTACATGATTGCTATTTAACTCTTTACAAAACTTTGTTTATGTAGAATATAATAAATAAAGTAGGTAGCTGGTAAATGAGAAGAATAAGAAGTAAGAGGATAGCAATCAAACACGAGAATGTAGCAGACCAGCATGTAAATGTTAGCTACATGCTGATCCAAAAATGAAGACATGTTGATGCTTTACATGACAAAAAGTTATTTTTGTCATCGCTGTCCCATTTGCTTTCTAGTCCTCTGCATAAAAGAAGCCAGAATGGGAACAGAACATTGACTCCATTCATTGTGATGAGCTGGTAACAGGAGTTTTTCATGCTCCTGTGAGAGCTCTAATGAAGATTGTCAGTCCTTCTCATTCCACCTCACTCATGCTTAAACAAAATATCTTTGGTCTAGAAACGTTTTGAACCATTTTTGAGATGATGTATAATATGCTATTTTTGTGTTATGTGTCTATATGAAGACTTAAATTCATATATATACACATGCATGCAAACCCATAAATATTAAACAAGAAACAGTTCCATGTCTGCCATTTAATAGTATTATTTTGAGAATAATTGTGTTCAAATTTATATGCTAGGGCAGGGTTCCTCAGTTCCTTGGGATTGAAGCATTCTCAGAATTTACAGAATCTGCACTAATAAGCTAGAAAAATAATATATAAATCTTCTCTTTTAGAACTACTTTATAGTCTGAAATTGAACTTTGATCTTTGTGTTTAAGCTTTGTCATGATTTAATATTACCCAAAATGAATTGCCAACCTTCAACTTGATATTGGCCTGCTAACTTCCTGATTTCTGAGCCTTTCTATTCCACAAACAAAAAGAAAAAATACTTTTGTGAAAATGTGATTATAAAGCTATGGTGGTTGTGTTGGTAATAGACTATCACAAAATACACTTTCAGTAAATGGTAAAAAAACATGAGTAACAACAAAAATGACACTGTGGGAAATAAGGAAAATGAAGCTATGCAGCTGGCAAGAAATTAAGCTAGATTTTTTGGCAGTGGATTTTTTTTTATTTTTTCTTTCCCAAAAGCTAAACACTGAAGGAACTTCACTGGGTTTATTTTGTAAGTTAAGTTAAGGAAAAACCCAAAAGAGCATAAAAGTTGGAATGGTTACAACTGTTCCAAGGTTAAAATGCAAGCCACTCAATTGCTAATAAAAGGAACTAGCTGTGATTTGGCTTGATAGCCTATAGAATGAAGCTCAGGATATGTCAGTGCCTGTGCAGACAGCAGCACAGGGATCGTCATGTTGATTCCAGACAAGGGAAAATGTCGTTACTGTCTCATAAGTTTCAGAGGACCTTGGAGTAGTTCAATGTAATGAGTGTAATGCTCATAAGAATTCATAGAATCATATAATTGTTAGAGTTGGAAAGGACCTTAAGATCATATAGCTCCAACCCCCCTTCACTGGGCAGGGACACCACCCAGTAGACTAGCTTGCTCAAGACCCTGTCCAAGCTGGCCTTGAACACTGCCAGGGATGGAGCATTTACCACATCTTTTTGGCAGCCTGTTCCAGTGCCTCACCACCCTCGCAGTAAAGAACTTCTTCCTTATATCTAACATGAACTTTCTTCGTTGAAGTTTAAGCCCATTACCTTTTGTCGTGTCACTATAATCCCTGATGAAGAGTCAGTCTCCAGCCTCCCTGTAAGCCCTCTTCAGATTCCAGGGTCTCCACACAGCCTACTCCAGGCTGAACAACCCCAACTGTCTCAGCCTGTCTTCATATGGGAGGTGCTCCAGTCCCCTTATCATCCTTGGGGCCCTCCTCTGGACTAGCTCCAAAAGGTGCATGTCCTTCTTATGTTGGGAACACCAGAAATGCACACAAGACTCCAGGTGGGGTCTCACAAGATCAGAGTCTACTCTGCCTCGACCTGCTGGTCACACTGTTTTTGATGCAGCCCACTATGCAGTTGGTTTTCTGTGCTGCAAGCGCACACTGCTGGCTTATGTTCAGTTTCTCATTTACCACCATCCACAAGTCTTTCTCCACATGGCTGCTCTGAATCTCTTCTCTGCTTAACTTGTAGTTGTGTCTGGGATTGCCCCGACCCAGGTGTCGGACCTTGCACTTTGCTTTGTTGAACTTCATGAGGTTTGCACAGGCCCACCTCTTCAGCCTGTCTAGGTCCCTCTGGATGTCATCCCTTCCCTCCAGTACACTGAAGTCCAAAAGAGTAGATCAAGACCTACCTTCGGTGTGTTCTGTAATTCTTGTGGGCTATGAAAGCATTTAGCAAGTGAGTTAGTGCTCATAATAGCTTATGGAAATTAGGAAATGTTTCCTTTGTCTTGCATAGACAGTGAATTACAAAGGTGTTTCTTTCTTTGGCCACTACCTGGATATTTGGAAGTACATTTCCCAAACCTTATGGATGACCAAACACAAGACAAATGGATTTTTTCCTTTGACATGATGGTCAGAAATAACTCAGATAATTGTAAAATATCTCATTTCTGGAGACCTGTTTTGTGGAGTTGTCATGGTTTAAAACCAGCAGACTCATTCTCTTTGAATTCAAATGAGCTATTGTCCACAGCAAAACACCATAATTTCATAAAAGAGACCAGTGTCTGTAAGTATTCTCTATTTTCCTTTTTTCTGAGAATGTGAAACAAATCTGGCAGCTCACATGCCACTTAATAGTAACTGTTCACAAATGTAATATTTTTTTAATTGATGACCACCACAGATCAACTATGTATAGTAAATCTCCAAGTTAAAAGGACTGGCAAGACTCCCAGCTAGCATAAATCAGAGGATCTCCATTGACAACCTCGCCATCTTCAGTCATCTGAGGACCTGGCTCACTTATTGTAAAAGCACTGTGGCATTATTTGGAGTCCCAGTCTGGAACCAGCATCATTTTAATGTCTGACTTAATATGTCTGAATACAGGTTGGGCAGCTAGAAGAAGTTGCCTTTCAAGAATATGGCTCTTTCCAACTACAACCCTTGACCTTCCAGAAAATTCACTGCTGTGGTGACTATTGTTCTGTACCTCCTTTTGTTCATTCCTCTTATTTTGAGGTTTTGTTCTCTTTCCCCTTTTCCCTCTTAGCATTCAAACAGATACAAAGAAAACAAAAAACTTACGCACTGCTACAAAGGTCTGGTAGTCCAGCAGTTCAAATCCAGATCTAGCAGAGTTAATTTTGTTCCTGGAAGACACTGAATTACATAGATATCATAGAATAGTTAGGGTTGGAAAGGACCTTAAGATCATCAAGTTCCAACCCCCATATCATTCACATTTCTAAAAACTCGGACATTACACCATTATATCTTCTCCTCTCATGTCACAATCTGAGCTTCTACACAAGAAATGGGGATATTAGCCGTGTCCTTCTCATTTTTTTTAATAAAAAACACTCTAGTATGAGCTCCTTCCAAGTGTGGCCACATCTTATCCATGTGCACAAAAAAAAATTTAACAATGACATTCTCAGTAAGGATGTGGCCTTAGTGATTTTATTTTAATTGTTTCTTTTCCAGAAGTATTGTCTCCCACAGACAAGATTTCTGCAGCTCAGAATTAGTGGCTTTGCTGCAGCCTGCGAGAGCTACTTAAAAAAGTAGCTCTGTCAGGCTCAGGGAAAACTTGGAGCTCACCAGAACGAGCAATACGTAGCAGCTGTAATCATCATCTTATATTATACAACTTGCAAATGTCCATTCCCTCCTCTTCTGGTGTCTCATATCCACGTGCAAAGCTGTCACACACCCCACGTTCTTAAACAGAAAGTTTAATACACAGATATCAGGGATGTGTAATGTAAACCATACCACCTAACATATTATGAATATATTGCTCTTCTTAAAAATGGTTGTTGGTTTTTCATACTACACTATTGACTAGCTGTCTGTGTTTGATGTATGGTTTACCAGCCTGATGTAGACTTATGGTTAGAGCTTAACTTGTTAGTTCTGCTTTTGCAGCCAATTCAGAATAACTACAGATGCCCCAAGATATTAAAATTGACTGCTTAAATGGACTCAGTGTGGGAGTTTCATTGGTTTTAAATTGATAACAGCTGAAAGAGTGAATGATTAAAGCTGTATATGGGCATAGTATGCAGCTCTTTTGTACATGCTCTTATGAACAGACTCCACTGTATGAGAATTGCCTTTGTTCTAATAAAAGATATTTCTGAACAATTGTTAGTTCAAATTTTTAAATGATGAAACAAGAGCATTTCAGAAGCCTATAGAGGAAATAATTCCTGAGAAACTGGAATAACTCTGAGAAGATAAAGTGGATTTCTATTCAGAAGGGAGCCTTTAAAGTTAAGTAGCATTCCATAAGGTGGTAATTGTGTCTATTTCCCAGGCATTTGAGTTAAATAAGCTGGATAAGAAACATAAACTGTCATAACAGGAGGTTAGGAGTGTTGTGTACATCCTTTTTTTTTCAAGTAATAAAAAATGAAGTTTTGAAGGGTCCTATCACAAATAAATCAAACAAAGGCTTTTTTGCTTCTTTTATCCCTTTGGAAGCAGTTCTTATTTTTTTAGATAAAAAAAACCAAACTGGATAGTTTCTCCTTAAACTAGTTTTTAAATATATATAGACACACCTATAAAAGAACAAGAAAATATTTTCATCTTAGTTACACAATAATCTAGTTTACAAAAGTTAATAACTTGAGATTCTTATAATTTCTTATATTCAAATTACTGTATCAACAGGTTTCAGCTGAGTTTTCACCAGCTATCTCTGTGATCTCTAAGATTGTATATATGACAGTGTAACTACTGAAATTCCCATACTTACATGCAGCAACAGATACAGCAAAAAACAATAGAGTCATGGAATTTGAGGTGTAGGTGTATCCAGAATTCACAATATTTGGATGCCTTATGGGTTCATGTAGTTATAAATATACATGATGGCCAGCAACTATTAATGCTGATTTGCTGCCCTCTCCATTCAATACAAAAATCTTGAGTGCCACTTTTCTAAATAATAAGCATTTTAAAGCTTAACTGCAGGATACAGAATGTGACTATACCTATGTATTGAAAAGTATGTAAAACGAGGTTAAACATTTTGCTGAAGATGCAGAACCTACACCAAAAAAAATTCATGAACTAGGTGAAAATTTCAAAACAGTTTCAGTATTTCCTCGCACAAATACCAAGTATCCTGCATTCATACAAGAGACTGAAAAAGTGACTGCAAAATAGTCCTAAGAAGTTGGTTATAACAGGGAAGAAAACCTGCTGAAGATGCATACATTAATTTTGTTTTGGTTATTCATGTACTGCTATCTACACAATGTAGCTCTTTGCCTGTTTTGCTTCTGAAATTGTTTACAAATGTCTTTGTCCACCAAATAAGATGCATTTTTATTCTTTTAAATGTAATTTACATTGGAAAACATTCCATATTATGCAAAGAATTTGACAGGTCTTTGCTAAAATTTAAAAAAACAATTAAGATGTCAAAAGAGGAAGAGCTAGAACATTTTAATCATAAATCTCTGTATATATAATTACCACTGAAGGCAGCTATAAATGTTTTCTGAAGAAAATGTAACCAGACTGTGCTTTGTCAGAAACATAACCCCAAAACATGTAACAGACTGTTCGCTAATGCTTAACGCCACACATGCACACAACCTTCTTCAGCGTAGTTCTGTGAACCCAGCTCTTCATCCCTTCTGCAGCTGAAATTCTGACTAACTTAAATAGAGGTTTTAATGTACTCTACCAGAATGCAGATCACGTGCATTGGGAGATCCTGGAATAAATTCCTTGATACATCTTTTTGAACTTCTGATAAGTTCAAGCTACTCCATGCACCTCACCTTCTTTCTCTGGTTGTTCCTTGCTGTGGGGAAACAACCCTGAGCAATGTAATCTAGGTGACTCTGCTTGAGGATGGAGGTTAGACTATATGACCTCCAGTGATTCCTTCCAACCTCAATTATTATGTGACTCTGTGAAAGGAAAGGCAATCAAGTTGTCCTTGAAATCTAAGCTTAATAAGAAATGGTAGTGATTAACAAAGGAAAAAGAAAACTCTTTGTAAAGAAGAAAATAAAATAATTTTCTGCCGTTACTGAGAAAAAGGTGTGCTGCTTGGAGGAGGCAGCAGTCAAGCTGCTTATGGTGGAAGACGGTGGGGCTAACTATGAAGGAAATATCCTGTGCCATGGGAGATGTAGGCTTGTTAGGTTCACTGTGAGGAGTCCAGGCATGTGTTAGAATCCTTCAGCTATCTAGACAATCATTTTCAAAACCTCTAGGTCAATTTCCAAACTGTAGTACTCTGTTGAAATGCTATATGGAGACTGTCTCTGGATAAATGATGATAGTACACTCCTATTGTTTCAGCATTTAATTGACTCCTATTGAGCAGTTTCTCTTATCTGTTTGATTCATTTTGTTTCTAGCTGACAACATCCCCATTACTGATTGCTCGTTTCATAATTTTTCAGACATATAGAGTGGAAATAAGGAAGCTAATTAGTAATCTGAAAATTTTAACCTGTTTATATAAATGTTTAACATCAACATTCAAAGTTTAACAAAACTTTGAAATTATAAAACCTAAATGGTAGCATCTAATTAAGTGATTATTCATTTAATTAGCTTTCCCCAAGGTTGGTGTGCTTGCCGGCTCTCCTACCAGCTTCTCCCACCAATACAAATCACAAGTTAAACTTGGTGTAAGATGCAATCCTCATCAAAAGTTATCTAGTACTTTCTATTTTTTTTAAACAGTTACTTTGGTGATTAAAAAAAACTTCTGCAAAGATGAGATGAATTTGTAGTAAGTCCTAATGTTGCAGAGTGATGAGGCACTTGCACCCTTACAGTACCCTATGGGAAGAGAGAATCTATGTATGCATAGAAAAGAAGGCTACCCGAGATATGGGTTTCAAGGTTGGACCAACAGTTCTTATCATGTAGGATTTTGGATTCAACAGGATACAGAACTGTACAACTAGAATGGCCTTCACATTTTATGGTGGGTCAGAGCAAACTTCAGAGACCTCCAAATTTTAGAAAGATCAATGCCAATGTGTAAATGGCAATTGAAATTAGAACATAGGAGGCAGTATCCAAGTGCTACCAGAAGCAGATCCTGAGACATTTGGTTCTGTGGCAAAAGCCAATGACCAGCAGGACTCAAAAAGGTCTTGTTTCCAAATCTGTCCATCTTTGATAGTTGAGCTTTTAATCAATGTGCAAGCTCAGAAGGGTGAAAAATCCCACTATTAATAATATGCCTTAACGTATTTTCCTCTTTTTGTCCCAAATGTAGATCAAATTTTCGGCTCCCATCTGCACTTGGTTTGTGAACGTGAGAAATCTACAGTCCCCCAGTTTGTAAGACAGTGTATAAAAACTGTCGAAAGAAGAGGTAAGTACCTTAATATTTAACACTAATTTTTTCTCTTTTAGCGATCAGAACCTTTTAACTCTGCTCAAATTGCCATAATAGGCATGCACTTGAGTTTATAATATAGTTACAAACTGAACAATATCACATTCTGTAAATTCATTTTCTTTATAAAAACTAACATAATCCATTCATGCTGGTTATTCCATATAGTTTGCTTGACATGTTGTTGGTTTAGCCATTCTCTGGTTAAGCAAATGCTAAACATCAATAAAATGTCAGTAACGTTCACTCTGAAGTCTTTGCTTAGTATAATGCCAATACCTTTTCCTAAGTAAGTCCTGAACTGTATTCATCCAAAATAAATATTCTAGTGTGACCATATTTTTTTAATGCATGCAGGTATCTAATTTTTACAGTTATTTTAAAAAGCTATCATATTGTAAGAACATTGGAATGAATATTCACCCTCATTAAAAGCTTTGATTAATAACAAGGATTTACATAGTATAGAAAAGATGTACTTAACACCGTTGCCTGACTACTTCTCTGCAGAGTGTATCTTCTCTCACTGAAGGTCATTTTCTTTGGAAGGTACATGCGGTAGATGCAGAATCTTAAAATGTATTGTATAAAAATGTGTGGCTTCATCACCATCTGTTACAAGTTTACAACTTGTTCCAGGGATCTGGGGAAACATATATCTTGCAAAAGATAGAAAATTTATTTTCAGACTAAGGCTGGGTGAACCCATTGTCACTGCCATATACTGGAGTCTCAGAACAAGGGAACCAATGGAAAATAAAAAGATGCTTAGACTGTTAACCACAAAGGAAAAAGCTATTTTAATTCCACCATTGTTACCTGGTTTTATAGTGAAAGGTGCCATAAAACTACCCTGGAGTTTCAAATTCTAGGAAATTCATGTTTTAATTATACAGCAAAGAGAGCACTTGGATATTATTATTCCCAGAATGATTGGCAGGAAGTCAAAGACTAACAAACTGGAGTTCTTTCAGTAGGGGGAGATAGTAACATTGGTTTTCTGGAGAAAGGCTGGAGTCTGGATAAAGAGAGACAAAGGGGAGAAACATGTGAAGTGACTATTAATAGAGGAGAAATTGCAAGGAGAAATTCAGAACATGAAAAGGAAAAGCAGATATTAGATTAGATTAGATTATAAAAATCACATGCCATGCAGAATATGTCTAATTGTTTGGTTATGATCTTAACACAAGTTCTCCAAAAGATACACTAGATATTTCACAGATATATCTGACCACTCCTCTAGGAGAATTGTGTCCAGAGGTCTCTGCACTGCTGAACAGTAATACGAAAATACAAAAATCAAAGACATCTAATTAAATGTTTATTGTCTCTGTGATTATCAGAAAAATGTTCATGGAAAAAAATGAAAATACAACTGTTTCTTCAAAGGAGTTCATCCTTTGGAGTATTGCATTATTGTTGTGGTGTTTCCTTCAAACTTGCTGTGACTTAGAGATGTCTACCCTTTTTAGTTAGTATAATATATAAACAAAAGGTAATCATATGGCAGAGATAAAAATTTCATTTTATCACTGTATTTATGAGTTTATATTTGCTACATAGTTTTTTCTATTATCGTTTTCTTGGATTAAAATACTTGCATTTACTCACATTTTATTTACTCAAAGTGTTGTTTTTACTAAGTTCTGGCATAAAGTATCTCAGGACAGCAGTAATTTATGTGAAGCTAAGTCCAATGTTTATGCAAGCTTCTGATGACATTTTATACCAGGGTTGGTATTAGGAAGCAGTATGTGGAGGTGCCAAGTCTCCCGGCATGGCTGAGACTCAACAGATCTGAAACCCTCCTCTTAATGGCCAGATATGCCTCCAGCCAAGATACTCAACTGCACAGTCATGGGAAATACTTATGTACCAATTATGGAAAAGGCACATTTAATGAAAACTGTATGTTTACTTTCATAGTCTTAGTAAGATGGCCTAGATACTCAGTACAGCTGGCATATTGGCTGTTGTAGAAAAGCTTTTTTTCTGATTTAGAAAATATATCAGCTACATAATGTAACTGTACCAAAAATGTTACTTGTGTGTTATTGGATTATAAGAAAAAAAGACCTTAGGAGAAATAACCCTAAATGTTAGTTACAGAACATTCTGTTTTTGCTGAATGGTTATGTTCTTATTTATCACCTCATGGTTTCAATTATTTACCTGTTGATTTTCTATATGTTTTTCTGATTTTTAAAGCATTATTACTGTGCACAGAAAGTCTAGCAGTAATCTGAATAAACCATATTAATTAGTACATTTTCCTGTGTAGATAAGGTTGAATATAATAGCCAACTGAACTTACATTCTCCCACAGATTAAAAATGTAGAGGTTGTTATTAACTGTTGGCAAGATTTCCTGTGCAGTTACATTATTTTTAAATTAATATCTACATTGAAATCAAAGGAATTATTCTGAAGTCGTTTTGCTGTAACTTAAATCAGATTTTGTTCATTTATCCTCTAGGCTACTGGTTGTTTCTTCACCATTTCAGGACAAGGGTGCTTTATAAGGCTTGGTCTAAAAATTCTTACACCATAATGCATATTTATCTATCTAACAAGGATTCACTTGTTCAAGAGCAAATTCCATTTTTCCAGCCTGTTTTAGTATTTTCAGTTATAGGACTGGGAAGGAGAATTCTTATTAATCAAATTCTACATTTACTTATCCATCTTGCAGAGTTGATAGTGGAATTTAATGGAGTCAATAAAAATGTGTTTATCCTTGTAAAGTTGCGAGGCAACTGTCACTTTAAAAAAAAAACAACAAAAAAACCAACCAAACAAAAAGGTCTTTTTTTTTCTTCCTATACTGTTTATTCCTTCATACGTTTTAATCAACTTCTTGTCCTACACAGCTATACAGACAGACATGTGCCACTAGAGTCAATAGTATGTAAGCAAAGAACATTGTACCCTTTGTATCTAATGCAATGTAATAAATAGCAGAAAAAAAAAAAAAGAAAGTCCTACGATGTGCCCCTGTGAGGATAAGAGAATAATTCTGTACCGTGCAATGATCAGATTGAAGAAATACAATGGCTGCTCAATGAGTTCTAGTATTTCTTCACTTTCTACATTCTCAGGAAGTTGGAGGGAAAGTTTTTCATGGAAGAGTGTATCTATTTTTAGTTTGTAGTGCTTTACTTTGCCATCAACACCTACCTTGGATGTACTTCATGCTTTTCTGGGGCTGCATGCAGACCTGACTTTTTTCATCTCTATTCCGTGTTTTTTCTTCTCCCCAGAAAGCATCTGATAGGTAGTGCCAACCCTAAGCTGAAAAGTGAAACGAGGAAAGCCTGGGACAATCCTCCCAGATACTATAATTCACATGCTGTGCAATCCTGTCAAGGGTGGGGTCCATTGCAAGATTTTTGATGTTTCTAGGCAAGATATTATTTCTAGTCATTTCTCAAGTTGCTTATTTATTTTGTTATACATGACCCTTTAGAAGTTCTGGCTGGTTTTTTGCCCTTTTGGGTTTTTTTGGTTTTTTTTTTTTTTTGTTTGTTTTTAAAATGTGAAAGGCATGAGTAGAATGCATTAAAAAAAAAAAAAAATAAAAAAACCAACCAAACCCCAAACAGAAAAAAACAACCAAAGAACCCCTAAACAAACAAACAACCAAAACAGAACAAGCAAACAAAAAAAGCAAACTCCAAAATATCAGTCTGCATTTTGTCTAAACAAAATGCCATCCAGTACTTCTCATAGTAATGTTTTATCATGTGAAAATAGTCTTATGTTTTCTAGGGATGATCATTTGTCTGTGTGTCTAATGACAGAGTAAATGAACACCCCGAGCATCCAGTATCCTAAACCTACTGAGGGTATCCAGTATAGTTTAGTTTTTGTAAAGAAATACAGTACTAATGCTCCAGGGAAATATAATTTAACTTTCATTTCTCTTTTGAAACATCCTTCATTTTCTTCCTCCATTCCCAAATCCAAGTTAGTGATCTCAAATCAGCGGAAATTACTTGAAAAATGACACTGCAGGCAGCAAAGCTGATGATTACAGGTACCATTTCCATTCTAAACTGGACATTGCAAACATTGTTTTCTGTTGCTTTTCTTGGAGCACAGGAATGCTTTGACAGGAATGATACACAAAATTACATATTTGATTCAATGCCTAAAAGCCACCCTGGGATCCATAACCTTGCTTAAAGATTTAAGAAAGGCCTCTAGTCCACTTCTGAGAAGGTTCTTAACTTAGAAAACTTTATCTTTCAACTTTACTTCTTAGCAGCTGTTATGTTTTTTTGCTGTCGTTTGTTTGACAGGATCCAGTTATAGGTTCCGATGTCTGTTTAAAGAAACAGGGAGGTTGTTGGCTTTAAAATTCCCTTACTGCTTGTGTGTTCAACATTTTCCCAGGCTTTTCTACATAGTTTGCCAAGTAAAGGGACTGACCTTTTGTAGCAAACACTTTTTCATTTCTAAATGCTCACTTTGATTTTTGTCCCATTTTATGCTCATTCCAAACTGTTTACAGCCCACTAAAAATGACTGTGAATTATATGTTTGTGTAATGGATTCCTTTTGCGGTCAGAGTGGAATGTTTACTTTGAACAATTAGTTATCTTTGGGCAGATTATAGTGACCTGAAAAAAGAATGGCTAAAATTATTATAGTACCTTAACTATTTCCTTTTGTTATCTTCTCTGTTTGCCCAATGTATTATTTACTGGGTTTCACTACTCTGTTCCCCAGTGAACAAATCATGTTAAATAAAAGCAACAACAAAAAAACCCTGAGCTTAGGGCTCTTGGTTTGGGGCTCTGATCCGCTGGGGTAGGAGTGGGTATGCCAGCAAGACTTCAGAAGTGACCATTAGGAACTTTAAAGTCTGGGCGTGCAATTTTAAGAAGACATGGTTTCAAAAGAAGTTTTAAACACTTGCTCTCTGAAAGTCAGCTTTCTTATAGGTGTCCAAAGTTTGACACCCTAAAGCA